ATCAAGAAAAATTTCCGCTTTCAAACTAAATCTTAAATAACTTAAACAGGTATAGGAACATGCATAATCAAAAAAAAATAATGAATTTAACCTTTTCACTAGTGAAATAAAAAAGTAGGTTTACATTTGAAAAAAATTATTTATGGTAATTTTTTAGTTGAGAGATTAAATTTTTCCATGACAGCTACGGGTAATATCATATGATATTCAAACAATTTAATTTGCCACATGTTTTCCTTTTATGTCACAGTGGCTGTGGTAATCACTAAATTTGACGTTTAGGCGATACACATTTTTTTGACAGGCAGTTTTTTTCCTCCAAAAACTTTAAATATTTTTTTTCTCAAAAACGCCAAGTCATTATAATTATTACAGAAATAAAGAAGACTAATATTGATACTAAAAATGTATAACAAAATTATTGAGTAGGTGCTTAAAGAGAGACTAAATAAAATAAAATGACTGGAGAATATCATCTGCAGAATATGCATTACAAGCAATGATTGGTTTAATTGATTTTTTTGTTAGAATAAAAAAAAAATTTAAAAAAGTTAATAATTCTTTGCTACAAATAAAGTTTTTTTTTCATTTCAAAATAATAAATAGACATCTCAATTCTAGACAACAGACTCTTGAATTAATTTTCTTTTTTAAGCTCTGGCAAAGAAACTGTTTAATTTCAATTTGAACTGGATAAAGTGAAGAAATTAAAAGCCGTATATTTCTTTCTTTTTTCGCTGTCTGGTTAAACGAAAAAAAGGGATGAAAATAAAATATATTTTCATGTTTTTCGCATCAGATGTTTGTTAAATTAAACGTTTTCAATTATAACGAAATACGTATATCTATATGTATATTTTCTGTTGTAGTCGTTTATAAAATTGAATTTTTTATTATAAAAATTATTTAATATACAGCAGTAAAATGTTTTTCACTTTTTTTCAATAATCACGTACAAAAAAGTTAAATTAAAAATATTAATAGTAGTTGTTACCTAGTGTGTCATACGATAAAAAAAACGGCGTCAAAGTATGCTTTTGTCATTTGTTGCCTATACAGGGTTATTCATGTCATTCGACGCGACGCGATATAAAAAAGTGCATTTACTACGAAAAATTGAAGAGATAGGTAAATACGCCTAGAGAAATAAAGCATTAGAATTATTATTGTATTTTCACAAAATCGTAAATATTTCAAAAACGTTAAGATTAAAACCTTAATTAAATTTACCTTTGTTTTAATTGTAGAAACTAAAAATGTAATATTATACAGGGTGTTCAGTTAAAAAATACAACTTGATATTTTTTTATTTATTTAATACACTCTGTACCTTCCGAAAATAATATTGAATCGTAGCTTTTTAAAGTAAAACAAGACTTTAGCATTAAACATTTTGATTGATTCAAAAAATAGGTAGTTGTTCACGGGATATTGGGACACCCTGTATATGTAACTATAGTAATTTTATTTCATCTATTACCCCTATAAATAATACCTATAAAATTATACTAAAAGCGTGTAGATAGCAATGTTCAACTCTCGTATTGCTTTGAAATTTCGTTTAGAAATTTCGAGCATTAGTCCATTTTATATCCGTTTCATGGGACCATCCCAATTACTATTCAGTAATTGGCTGATATTGCCTTCCGCTCATTAGACAGCAAAATCAGTTATTTTAATTTTCTGCATGGTTACATGCGCAGCTCTTGGGATTATTATATCATGTGTAATTATTATGCGTGTTTAGATTTGAAAAATAAACTATATTTCGGGTAAAAACAGACACTTTTGACTATTTTTTATCCAAAATATATTTGTTTAATCTATACTAATATAATATCCTTGTTTATATATTCTTAAAGTTGATCAACCTCTCGACAAAATGTGCTGCCTCTGGTGAACAAATCGTGAAGCTTTAAAGGAATGTAGCATGTGATTAGGGGCGGGATCAAAAATATCGATTATTTGCGGTATTTCCCTCAAAGTAATGTAATAATATAGTTCGGATTTTGGCGAACTATAATAGGGCTCAACTGATTAAGAAATTTAAACAAAACTATTATTTCATTGTTGATTTTCGATTATTTTTGCTGTTATTTTAAGAATTCTAAACCGTATTAACAAAGAAATTATTATTTCAATATGTTGGTACATTAATGCTAATTACTGGTAATTATTAATATTTAAAAAAAGTTACATGCACTTACTTTATTTCGATTTGACACAGGGCTATAAAATTTTATTTCATTCTTAGATCATTTTATTCTAAATTGAGGTTTTACGAATTTACGATAATTTTTTTTTAAAAACAAAACTTTTATACATTCTTGATTAATTTTTTTCTTAATTAAAAATAAAACTTGGCACTTGTTTCAATAATATTATTTGACATTTAAATAAATATTATGTACTTAATACACCATTTAAATCTTTATTACACGAAATAAATATTTCTTAGCGTAAAACATGATCAGAGTCAAATTTGTTTTAACTTTGTACCATATTAAGAAAAAACGGCATCCAGTTGGCTGGGAAATGACGATCGACGACATTTCCCATATAAATGGCACTAAGCTATGAACTTTTTCAAAAATCTGAAAGGCGCATATTTATGACCCCACAAAACTGCAATTCGTTCCCCATTAACCGACTCTCTATCTCCAGTAGTTTCCGAGACACCCATAGAGAACATAGTAAGAAACTCACCCTGTATATTATCCCATTTAATATGACATTTTAGTATACTCTTTATATGCATACAAGCGGATTTATGATCTATATCTCGTACTTTTTAGATAACGTTTACGTTTTAACTATTCACTAACGTCTAGCCTCATGACTTCTAAACCCTATAGCGATAAATCTGCACAATGTTGCTTTTGAATTATTTACAGGGTATAAATCTTGAAGACCCTCGAGCTGCCAAATATTTTACTGGAAAATTAATACCTCGGAAAAGCGTAAATTTTAGATAGGAAAATACAAAATTCTCAAACCGTTTAAAATTTTTTATGAATTTTATATCCTACTAAGTACATATTTTTATAATACAAAGTATGATATTGTCCAAATCAAGAATTATCGTGTGTATTTTCAGAAACATTATTTTTTGGAAGTATTTTTAATATAGTAGTTTGGAAGGCTTTTTAATATACATAGTTACTCTCTGTACCCAAACGATAAATAAAAAATAACAAAGTTGTATTTTTTTAAATGGACCACCCTGTATATTATTAGATTTTAGTTCCTACGATTAAAATCTTTGAATAAGAAGACTAAGGAAGGAGCATAATGCTATCCATGTATTCATGCATGGTGGACGGAAAAAGCACCATAAAAGCACTCTAGGGTGGGGATCCTTGACAGTTCTGTTTGACGATTCATTTGACATATTTGAATTTGATTTGAAATTTTGTGGATTTGTCAGTCTTTACGGAGCTTATTTTATGTTATTTATTATTTATTCTACACTGATAGTTGTATAAAGGTAGTAAATCTAGATGGAAATTGTGGCAGAACTTAAATTAACAGTGACACTATCGGGATTTATCGAAAAAGACTCTAAAATAGTTGGTTGTGTAGCGTGCGGTAGATCTCGGCAAAAATTGAGTGAAATAATGGAACAACTTTTCGCTAGTAAGTGACTATAGGTATAATATACATACGTGTAGTAAACCGATCATTTATGAAATTCACTTAAATTAACTAAATTATATATTTTTCTTGCATTTTAGCTTTTATTTATTACTTGTCAAAGATTTAATGTCAAAGAATTTAGATATGTTAATTTGACTTACCTGCTTCAGTAGCGTATCGGATGTTTGTGTTAATAAATACTTATTATAACTTATCTATTTTTATTACAATTATATATTTTTATAACAATTTTAATAACTACCAACATTTATTCACAACGTAAAATAAAACAACAAATTATTGAGTCTACCCCACGTCTACCCTACATCATAGTTTTACATTTTTTAAATAAAATTAGAACGACACTGATAAACCGGAATTTAAGTCGGCCATATTTGAGGCCCATCGCGGTGTACCTAAGATTTTTGATATGCTCCTTCCTTAGTCTTCTTATTCAAAGATTAAAATAAATGTAAATTTGATTATGGTTTACCGCACTTTAATATTATCGTTTTTGAAATTGACTTTGTGAAAATGCAATGACAATTTTAATGCTTCATTTCTCTGGGAATATTAAGTTTTTAAAACCAAATATTGTTCTGAAGTTTTTCTATTCCTAAATTTTGTGTTGCAATAATAAACATTATACTACCTTATACAGAGTATAAAGTTTCTAGAATACAAAATAGGACTTTAGCCATTTCTTTGTCCTTATGACCGCACAACCCCTATGCTTTTTTAACCACTAAACCTAGATTTTTTGTGCTGCCTGGTAGTTTCCCGACAATTTAGACGTCTACGTAAGTAAGATTAATTACTTGGCCGAGTTTTTTCGAATAATTATTCATTATTTAAGAACGAAAAAGACCCCGTCTGTTGGCTGGACGTTTCCAGATTTTTTCTTTTTGGAGAAAAAGTAGTTTTTCAGTTGAACACAATGGTTGAATGCGCTGCACTCTTCAAAAAAGACTTATAACTTATAATACTCTTTATTGTTTAAAAGTAAAGAATGTATTTCAAACATCACAAGGTTCATAAGCTGGTACGATATATTATGTATAAATATTTTCTATAAAATATATTATTATTGATAATTTTACGGGATCTGAAAACAAAAATGATTGACATTAAAAAGACGATCAAATTATATTATCAGGTATGGAAAAATAAACATAAATGCCTAATTTATGTTTTTAATTAAGTTTTTATGCATAGATAACACTTCTAACAAATGTATTTTTCGATAAAAAATTGTCTCACGCAACATCCATATAAACTTACAAGTTTTTGCTAAAAGAATTTCTCGGCTGGTGGTAAACATATGATAAGGATTAATATAAAACCCCGACACAGAACCAGAGACGTTACTTCAGTTCCAGCACCGTTTCAAGAACTAGTGTCTAGCTACAAAATCAGCCACTACAATGAAGACTGTTATTTTCGCTACCCTCCTAGCTTTGGCTAGCGCCTACCCATACCCAGCACAGTCTCCCTTCTTTGGTGCATACAGCCAAGGACTTTCAGGAGGTTCAGCTGCTGCATGGGCATTCCAACAAAATGTTGCTGAAGAGGCTTACCAACAGACCTTTGGAGCACAATCTGCGTCTCAACAAAGCACTGCTCAAGCTATCCAAGGAACTGTGGGTGCACAAAACGGACCAGTAAACGCCCAAGCTGCCGCTGCTCAAGCTGCCCAAGCCGCTAGCCAGATCGTGCAAGGTGCCGAACAAGAACAACAGAACCAATTCCAAGGATCCATTCAGCAGTTGGCTCAAGGACAACAACAAGGAGGCGCTGCAAACGGATCTTTCGGACCACAAAACGCTGGACAAGCTTTCGCACAACAAGCACAAAAGCAACAAGCTATCCAGGTTGGCTTATTTTGCCATATTTGCTTGTTACATTTTTTTTCTTTTAGAATTTTTGATACTAAAGAAATATTACGTTATAAGAATGAATTTATTGGGTTAAATACTTCTTTGAAATGAATATTCTTTAACAGATTTTAAAATTATATTTTGGTAGCCAAAGCCTTATAAGGTTGGAGCTGAAATGAATCTCATAAAAGATAGAGTATATAAATAAGAATCTTGCTAATTATGCGTCTAATACTCCACTAGGAACTCCAAAAACAACAACAAAACCAAGCCCAACCTGGATCCACTGGTCAAAACCTCCAACAAACTCTCCAAGCTGGAATCGAAGCCCAATTCGCAGCCCAAAACACACAAAACCAACAACAACCCGGTCAAGCTCAGGCTACCGCTGCCGAATTCCAAGCCCAAGTCCAACAATTGGTAGACCAAACCAACGCTGAACAAACCAAGATGTAATTCCTCCATAAATTTTACTGTAAAACTTTAAGAAAAATCTAATATTTACATATTTTCAGTGCTATTGCGGCCGCTCAACACAAAGCCAACCAACTCCAACAACAACGCCAATTCGCTAACCAACAAAGCCAGAAAGTACAAGCTCAACTCGCTGCTGTCAGACAAGTAGGAGCTTCTCCCCAACAAGTCCAGCAATTGCAACAGGCTCAGGCTCAACTCCAGCAACAGCAACAATCTCTCGCTCAACAGGAACAAGCTCAGCATTTGGCTGCACAACAATTGCAACAGGTGCTCATCGGCCAGCAGAGCCAAATCCAGAATGACATTGCTAACCAACAGGCTGCCCAAAATGCCCAGAATGCTGCCCAGGGAAATGCAGGGGGATACTAAACTAAGAATAAGATTAACAGTTATTTGATAAATAGTATTTATACTATGATTTAAATTATTGTATTACGACTGACGGAGTTACTAGTTGTATATTTTTAAGGCAAGATAAATAAATATCATTTTGTTTAAAAAATACATTGTTTTGTTTTTAAAACCTACAAATGGAGTGTAATCTATACTAATATATAAAATCCTAAGGTTGATTCTTGGGTGTAGAGGTTCGATAAGAAGGCATTTTTCGAAATTCCAGTTCTAAGGGGGTGTAAAATATTTCAATATTTTTTATTTAAAAAACGGTCAAGTTTCCGATAAAACGCTTAACAAGTATATTTTATTTTGTTTTTTTTACATATTTTAAGATTTTTTAAAAATGTATACAGGGTGTTTCGAAAAATCTGGTCATTGATTAATCACGATCCTACTTAAAGCGCTTGACGTAAAAAGCTGGTTTTTGGAAAAGGAATTGACTCTAGGGTGTAGAGTTTCGAAAAGAAGGGATTTTTCGAAACTCGAATTCTAAGGGGGTAAAATCACCCCTCAAATATTAGAATATTTTTTATTTAAAAACCGGTGAGTTTTTCAGAAAAACTCTTAAACATATATATTTTATTTTGTTGTTTTACATATTTTAAGATTTTTTAAAAATTTATACAGGGTGTTTCATAAAATATGACCATTGAGTAATCACGATTCTGCTTAAACTGCTTGACGTTTAAAGCTGATTTTTGGCAAACGGATTGACTGTGGTGTGTAGAGATTCGATAAGGAGGGGTTTCTCGAATCTCAAATTCCAAGAGGGTGAAAATGCCCCTGAAATATTACAATATTTGTTATTTAAAAAACGGTTAGTCTTTCGGGAAAACGCTTGGACAGGCATAATTTATTTTGTTTTTTTTTAATATTTTGAAATTTTTTAAAAAATCATACAGGGTGTTCCAAAAAGTTAGGTAATTGATTAACCACGATTCTGCTTAAACTGCTTGACGTAAAAAGTTTATTTTTGGCAAACGAATTTTTCGAAAGTCAAATTCCAACGAGATGAAACTATCCCTCAAATAGTACCAAGTTATATAATAATATCGCCATATTGTTTTCTCGAACGAAGTCGCGGGTACACGCTAGTTATATGATAATAAAGTATATTATAATATACAGGGTGGTCCGAACTGTATTCCGGAAACTTCGGCAGCATATTCTGCAGATAAAAATAAGTAAAAAAGTTCGTATAAATGTATGTCCTAAAATACTTAGTTTTGGAGATACAGGGTGTAGAAGTTTCACTTTTATTTCGATTTTTTCCAAATAATTTCTGAAGTAACGTCAATATTTGGACGACAATTGGTGTCTGGGAGTTTTTTGACATGAGAAATTTGATTTTGATGTCAATATGACTCCTACTAGTAGAGGGCGCTACCTACATATTTTTTAACTGATTTGAAGAGTAATCACTTTTCGTCCGTACCTGTATAAAACTACTAAGTAAAAAAAATATACATTTACGACGTTTTCTACGTAAGAAAGGTTCCTTGGTAAAAATCGTTACAAGTAATGGTTTTCGAGATATTTGGAATCGAAGTTATCAATACCTGTCATCATTGACATAATTAAATTAAACATGTTGACTAAATAGTTATTAGACTGAAATCATAAATTTGAAATGTTTTTGTGCTAAAAGTTTAACAGAAACCGTTTTATCGTCTTTTTTTTGCAGAAAAATTTATGATTAATTTAAAAAAATAAAAATTTCCCAAATTTATTATTTCAGTGAAATAACTATCTACTCAACGTGTTGATCTTTTGTCAATAATGACATATATTGACTATTTCCTTTCTAAATATCTTGAGAACGATTGCTCGTAGCGATTTTTACAAAGAGATATTTTTTACGTAAAAAGTCACGGAGATGTACATTTTTTCACTCGATACTTTTATACAGGTACGGACAAAAAGTTATGACGCTTCAACACAGTCAAAACACATGTAGGTGGCGCCCTCTACTAGTAGGAGTCATATTGACATCAAAATCAAATTTCTCATGTCAAAAAACTCCCAGACACCAATTTTCATCCAAATATTGATGTTACTTCAGAAATTATTTAGAAAAAATCGAAATAAAAATGAAACTTCTACACCCTGTATCTCTGAAACTAAGCATTTTATGACATACATTTATACGAACTTTTTTACTTATTTTTATCTGCAGAATATGCTGCCGAAGTTTCCGGAATATAGTTCGGACCACCCTGTATCTAAAATTATACACCCAGTAAAAATCCGAAGATAGTCCTTACTTAAAACAACTTCACACTCTTGATAACGGGCAGTGATACTTCTGATCGAAACGTTGTGTCAGTAAGATAAATATACAATGGAAGTCCGAAATTCTTTTAGTCTTAATACTGAATCATTGTCTACTTTATCTACCATATTCAAAGTAACATTACGATTATTGTTTCTTAACATACGTAAAATTAGATGTAAACCTATAATTATTTGTATAATTTTGATTTGTAATAGTAGACAGTTTTTTTCTCTTTTGAAATATCCAAAAGGTTCGAAAATAGCAACAACCACGCAGGCAGATCTTTATTTAGACGAATGGAGACTAAACAATAGATTTGTTTTTATGTAAATGTAACTCAATATATACGAATATAGAGAGAAACTTTTAATGTAAATATATTTGTTTGTTCCTCCTCGAAGTAAAAGGTAGAGTTTTTCCCTTCTATATTAAAGAAAAAAACAACCTACACAGCTCTAAAAATAAATATGAATTTGAGCTGGACAGTTTTTTTTGTCTGTGTCCATTTCAGTACATACAAGTATATTTTTATATACTCAGATGCAAAAAAAGCAAAGGAAAATGTTTTCGTCAAATTTAAAGTGTTATTTTTTATATTTTTAGTCTTATTTTCATGAATTTTTTAACAAACTGTATATAAATATATCAACTTTAATTGGTAAACTCAGTTTATTATAAATTTTAGTATTTGTCTTATTATACGAAGTTAATTGAAGATTTGTTATTTACCCTATCTTTAAAACACCCTGTGCATAATAGGCCAGTAAGCGAGGATAAAAATAGGGTATTATCTCCGAATTCTTGACACCCGCACCGATTGACATCGACGGCGTCACGACAAAAGGGCGTAAGCGCCATTCGTCATTTTTTTCAGGAGACGAAAAAAACGTCTAAAATCTATATTTTTTATTTTTTGTGAATTATTTTTTGCTACAGTATTATAGATTATATGGCACATTTTTCAAGAATTTTTTGCTTATAAAATATTAAACTGTTAATTAGTTATTTTAATATTTGGCGCTTACGCCTTTCTTTCTAGGCTCGATTGGCGTTTACGTCTTTTTGAAAGGCGTTTAAGACTTTTGTGTCTTATTATTCTAGTCATTTTTGTCGTTTAGGTGCACTTACGCCTTTTGAGTTTTACAAATAAAATTAAAAATGTCGCTTGGATTTTTAAATTTTTTTAAGAAAACACAGTACAAAATACTCAAACTGATACTTTCAATATTTTCAAACTCATTAGGCTTGAAATAATAACTGGAAAATTAAATTTAACTAATATTCTGAGCAAAACACGGGTAAACTTGATCCGTATTCCTCGTTGGTGGCAAAAGGTGGTTCTTCTAACATGAATAATTCTGACTCCAACAGCGCATCATGCTGCAATGATTCTGCCAGAAGATCATTATCTATGATATCGCTCTCAACCTCAACCTTTTGATTTCCACATTTTAATGCCAAATCTCTGATTTTCTTCCCGCGGGAAGTCATTATCACACTGTGGAGAAAAAATATAAAAAAGGCTCAAGCGACAAAAAAAACAAATTTCAAACAATTATTACAATCAAGAAAATGTCCTTTGACTTGTAGCAAATGTTTTTTGAAAATTAATATTGTATACAATTTAGATATTTGACAATTTTTGAAATCTGCTGAACGGTAGTTTTGTTAAAAAGTAAAAAAATATGCCATTACGATCACATAGGCGGATGGCGCTTACGCAAACCAAATAAATTAACACGAAAAGGCGTAACCGACAATAACAAATAAATGTCGGTGTTTACTATTTGAATTAGATTGAAGCACAAAAAACAATCTAGGCTACCCAATATGAATAAGACCTATCTTATTAATAAGTTTTTCTACGTACCTTTGAATGGAAAATGGTATTTTTTCATACCAGGCGTAAGCGACCTTCCAACACGTGTGAATGGCGGTTACTGATTTTCGCGTCGAGTCTGGTTTGAAGGTGTATTGGCGGTTAGAAACTAAAACTGTCTTTTTCTCACGTTAAGAATTTTTGCTGGTTAAGCCGTTTCATAGATAGGTGCGCATTTATTAGTATTAAATTTTGGAACCATAATCTCATTTTCGTTATTTTGGCGCTTACGCCCTTTTGTCGTGACGCCGTCGACATGAAATTTTAACAGTGAATAATATGTAAGAAACAAAAGTTACATAGTTTCGGAAAAAAATTAACAACAAAATCTATAACTAAAATCATAAAAATAAAAACTATCAATTTGTAGGAAATTACACGAGCTACAAATTAACCTCTATAGTTGAACAGTCTTGAACTCTTCATTTTCACGAGATTTTTGGGTTTTAAGGGCTCAAAGAAGGTGGTCCTTACATGCAAGTCAAACTAAAAAAACGTAATATCTAGGAAATAAAGAGATCTACAGAAAAATTGAAAGGAAGCAAAAATATTGCAAAAAAAAAGATCTTTAATTTTCGTCTGTTGCATTTTTTACGTATCTTGCTTAGTTTTTGAGAAATGTCAAAAAAATTAAAATTTTTTTAAAAACAAAAAATATTTTTTTTTATTATTTTCAACTTTTTTCCAAATTTAGGCATTCTAAACCGCTGGAAATTGCAGAGTCAATTGATAGTACCTAAATATAGCCAACTGTACATGTATTACCCTTACTTTTTATTTTTATGATTTTAGTCATAGATTTTGTTGTTAATTTTTTCCGAAATAATGAGGTGACTATATTATTTTTATCATAACTCCGACAGTTTTTGAGCTACAAACTTTTTTGAGAAAGCATTTAAAAGGTCTTTTCAAGCACTTTAAAAACGGTCATATTCATTTTCTTCGAAAAATGTTTACTTTCGCCATTATTATACGGTAAACATGCAATTTAGTTTTTGAAAAATAAAAAATCACGTTTACAGAATGATAACTAGGCTCTTATTACACCTACGATAATCAACTAAAAATGGATCGTTTAGTTATTCCAAAAGCTTCATTTTTGCTTTATATGAGTTTTGCGATAAAACGCAAGATGTTTGAGTTATTTATAAAAATTGGCAAAAAATATTAGTTTTTAATTAATTTTAGTTTCATAATCAAGACTCACTAAAAACCTTTTTGATTAATTGAATATTATTTTGTAGATTTAGAAACCAAAGACCATTTAAACAAAATGATATTTATTTATCTTGCCTTAAAAATATACATCTAGTAACTCCGTCAGTCGTAAAAAATACTTTAAATGATCATATAAATGCTATTCTAATTCTTAGTTTAGTATCCTCCTGCCAGGACATTTTGCGCATTCTGAGCATACTGGGCATTACGAGCATTCTGGGCATTCAGAGCACTCTGGGCATACTGGGCATTCTTGGCGTTTTGTGCATTCTGGGCATACTGAGCATTCCTGGCATTTTGAGCATTCTGGGCATTCTGAGCGTTTTGAGCGATCTGCGCAAACTGTGCGCTCTGAGCATTTTGCGCATTCTGGGCAGCCTGTTGGTTAGCAATGTCATTCTGGATTTGGCTCTGCTGGTTGATGAGGGCCTGTTGCAATTGTTGAGCAACCAAATGCTGAGCTTGTTCCTGTTGAGCAAGAGCTTGTTGCTGTTGCTGGAGTTGAGCTTGAGCCTGTTGCAATTGCTGGACTTGTTGGGGAGAAGCTCCTACTTGTCTAGCGGCAGCGAGTTGAGCTTGGACTTTTTGGCTTTGTTGGTTGGCGAATTGGCGTTGTTGCTGGAGTTGGTTGGCTTTGTGTTGAGCGGTAGCAATAGCACTGAAAATATTTAAATATTAAATTTTTCTTAAGTTTTAAAGTAAGATTTATAGAGGAATTTTTACATTTTGGTTTGCTCGGCGTTAGTTTGGTCTACCAATTGTTGGACTTGGGCTTGGAATTCGGCAGCGGTAGCCTGAGCTTGACCGGGTTGTTGTTGGTTTTGTGTGTTTTGGGCTGCGAATTGGGCTTCGATTCCAGCTTGGAGAGTTTGTTGGAGGTTTTGGCCAGTGGATCCAGGTTGGGCTTGGTTTTGTTGTTGTTTTTGGAGTTCCTAGTGGAGTATCAGACTCATACTTAGCAACATGCTTAATTATATACTCTATCTTTCATTAGGTTCAGTTCAGCTCCAACTTTATAAGGTTTTGGCTACGAAAATGTAATTTTAACTCCAGTTGACTTTCTAATGTCTAAAGGATTCTTTTCTAGCTTGAGGTTTTTTGATTTAAGCCAAAATCTCATAAAGAATATTAATTTCAAAGAAGTATTTAACCCAATAAATCCATTTTTATAACGTAATATTTCTTTAGTTTCAAAAACTCTAAAAGAAAAAATATGAAACAAACAAATATGCCATTATAAACCAACCTGGATAGCTTGTTGCTTTTGTGCTTGTTGTGCGAAAGCTTGTCCAGCGTTTTGTGGTCCGAAAGGTCCGTTTGCAGCACCTCCTTGTTGTTGTCCTTGAGCCAATTGCTGGATGGATCCTTGGAATTGGTTCTGTTGTTCTCGTTCGGCACCTTGCACGATCTGGCTAGCGGCTTGGGCAGCTTGAGCAGCGGCAGCTTGAACGTTTACTGGTCCGTTTTGTGCACCTACAGTTCCTTGGATAGCTTGAGCAGTGCTTTGTTGGGATGCAGATTGTGCTCCAAAGGCTCCAAGAGCAGCAGCTTGTTGGAAAGCATATTCAGCAGCTGAACCTCCCGAAGGTCCTTGGCTGTATGCACCAAAGAAGGGAGATTGTGCTGGGTATGGATAGGCACTAGCCAAGGCTAGGAGGGTAGCGAAAATAACAGTCTTCATTGTAGTGGCTGGTATTGTAGCTAGACACTAGTTCTTGAAACGATGCTGGAAGTGAAGTGATTTCTCTGGTTCTGTATGGGGGTTTTATATTAATCCTTATCTTATGTTTACCACCAGCCGAGAAATTAATTTAACGGAAGCTTGTAAATTTTTATGGATGTTGCGTAAGACAATTTTTTTATCTGAATTAGAACTTTTATTTATACATAAAAACCTAATTAGAAAAATAAATTGGAGATGTTTATTTTTCCATACCTCGATAGTATTTGTTAAAATTTTAGTACATCTTTTTAATGTCGAGCATTTTTGTTTTGAGATCCCGTAAAATTAACAATAATTATTGTAAAATATCTGAGAAATATTTACGTATCGTAACAGTGCTGTAAATACGTAAAAAGTAATTTAAAATAGATTTAAATGTCTACCATTCTCAATTATTATGACTTGAAAATCGATAAAGGACTATGTTTAAAATTTATATGAATTATTTTTTAGAATATATTTCTTAAATTACGTTGCACGTAATTATTGTTCATTCATTGCTAGATACTATCAGTATCTAGCAATGAACGAACAATAACGTGTGTACAGGGTGTCCCATTTTGGTTGAAATCATACGGTATCTCCGTTATTAGTGAAGATAGAAGGGTGCGGTTTGCACAAACCTGTCTCACTTTTTTGTCAAACGGAAGATGTCGTAAACAAAATTTTCATAGCCCTCTCCGTTTCCGAGCTATAGGGTCTTTTTGAAAATTTTGCAATTTGGGACACCTCCTGTATCTCTGTTATTGTTAAAGCTATCGCGAAGGTGAAAACTGTTTATTGTAGAACTTTTTACGTAAAATACAGTGGCGTAGTCTGTTTTTCTACCAAAGTAATATTTTTGAAAATATGAACTAAAGTTATGTTTTTTTAAATGGAACACCCTGTATATTTATAAATCATATGATCTGTCTTGCCATAAGCTTCTCAAAAATATATATCACTCTATATTTATGTTCACTATTTACTGCAATATTTAAAAGTTTTTATTAAAATATATTTATTAGTAGGCCATGATTGATAATAAAAGAAACTAAAGAATTATTAAAAGTATACTGGCTATCTGTCTCTTGTTTTATTTTGGGAGCCGCTAATAAATTCTTTATATATTAGGGAAATTTAACTCCCTACCGCTATTTGTAAATCTTGGAATACGTGTATAAGTATGAATAATCTATCGTATCGGAAATTTTAGATATTCCTTTAGCTAATATACGTGAAATATACTTTCAGCAAGATGGGGAACATTCCCCCTCAAAACTATGAAAATATTAAAATATTGTTAAATTATTATTTTTCAAATCAATGAATTGGAACCAATGAACACATATTGATAGCCCCCTCGATTCCCGGATTTCGCCGTTCTCGATTTCTGATTTTGGGGATTTTTGAAATTCGAAATATATCGTGGGCACTACAACCTACAACAATGTCGAACACCTGAAAAATGCTTTAATAAGTCAAGCATTTAGATATTTGCAAACCCATTCCGTTATAAAAGAAAGAAAAATATATTCACAGTTTCAGTGGTAACATTTATTTCAAAAGTAAAATATATCAATCCCAAATTAATTTTAATATGTGTATGACTATTTTAGCAAATACCATTTTGATTTTTTGTTATTTATCACGGCCTACTAATAAGAAAATGATATATTTTAAATATTGCAGTAAATAGTAAAAATAAATATAGAGTGATATATATTTTTGAGAAGCTCATAACAAGACAGATCATATGATTTATAAATATACAGGGTGTTCCATTTGAAAAAACATAACTTTAGTTCATATTTTCAAAAATATTTTTTTGGTAGAAAACAGACTACGCCACTGTATTCTACGTAAAAGTTCTACAATAAGCAGTTTTCGCCTTCTCGATACCTTTAACAATAACAGAGATATAGGGGGTGTCCCAAATTGTAAAATTTTCGAAAAGACCCTGTAGCTCAGAAATGAAGAGGGCTATGAAAATTTTGTTTGCAGCATCTTCCGTTTGACGAAAAAGTGGGACAGGTTTGTGCAAAACGCACCCTTCTATCTTCACTAATAACGAAGATACCCTATGATTTCAACTAAAATGGGACACACTGTACAACGGGAGAATACATGGAATTGACAGTTGCTGTCATTTCGCAGGTACATAAATTGTATTTTCTGTCATTTTATAGACTGTTGAAATCTTCACTCACTAGATGAACAGATTTTAGACGTCTCAGACTAAGCATGAATAATGATTTATACAGGGTGAGTCCTAAATAAGTTAACATATTATTAGGGATTTTACATTTCGGTACCAAAATTATCTATAAAATTTTTCTTCGATATTTTTTTGACTAATTTTTTATAATTTTTTTAATTTTTAGTTAAAAAAATAATATGTTGATAATATGGCAACAGTTGTTTCAGATTAAATTTAGAAGAACGAAAACAGAAAGGAAAATCTAATGGGTTTCAAACTTTAACCAAAAAATATGTTTTCGCAGATCTTTCAAATAAAAAAAATCGGTTATTTTGGACTACTATTTTAATGAATATTTTACACAGTCATATCCATAATTAATACAAAAAATATCTAGGTATACCATTTTCTAGGATCTAAGGATATAGCCGGATTAATATAGGAAATCTGTCCCCGCGGCTTTTTTGACTCGCACTCAGGGAATCGATTTGATGTCGAATCAAAATATTTTCAAAAAAACTGTTTTTTCAATTATATTTTTTTATAGTAAAATTCAAAATTAATTAATGATGTTTTTTTTCTAATTCATAGAAGTCCAAGACATGAAAAAATAATATGGTCATGATTCATAAACGAGAAGCCGATTTTTAGCGGAGGAAAGAAAATTAAAATCTTCATATTTTAAAGCTTTTCAGCATAAATCTTTATATTTCGCAAAGGTTAAAAAAATGAAGATTTTAATTTTCTTTCTTTCGCTAAAAATCGGCTTTTCCTTTAACAATCATGATCATATTATTTTTTCATGTCTTAGACTTATAAGAATTAGAAAAAAAAACATCATTAATTAATTTTGAATTCTACTATAAAAATAAAAATAAAATTGAAAAAACAGGTTTTTTTTGAAAATCTCAAAAACCTTTTCAGTTAAAGAGCTAAAACTTTAGGTGAATTATTTTGATTCGGCACCAAATCGATCCCCTTAGTGCGAGTCAAAAAAAGCCGCGGGGGCAGATTTCCTATATTAATCCGACTATACCCTTTGACTAATATAGAATTTTTCTTAGGGAAATATATCATTAAATTTAAATTTTCCCATTCAGGTAACAATATTACGCATCATTGTGAAATAAAGTAATTTTCTAAACGAAGATTATTCTACATCGGCGAGTAAAAAAATTGTTTACGCTATTCGCCGAATAAAAAAGATAACTCTATCATTTAATTCAAGATATCCTGTCTAATTTTATAAATGTTTTTTCCCTGATATACCGCTACGGATACGCCACGTACGTAACAACCCGTACTGCTCATTAAAAGAAGAACATGTAGTACCACACATTATCTCTATCACTTGCAATTAATTAACAGAGGCTATCAAAAATATTTTTTCAAAAAAAAAACCGTCGTCTCATGCAATAAAAATACGAATTTGCAAGTAATTGGACTCTCGGCTGGTGGCAAATTAAGATAAGCATACATATAAAACAAAGAAAAAGAACCAGAGACTTCAATTCAGTTCGAGCATCTTTGAAGAACAGGTCCCCACTTCAAACACCGACTACACGATGAAGGCTTTCATTTTCGCTTCCCTCCTCGCCTTGGCCACAGCCTACCCATACCCAGCATGGTCCGGCAAAAGCTACCAATCCCCATGGTCAGCAGGTTCCAGTCAAGGTCCCTACGGAGGATGGTACGGTGCCGCTCCATGGTCCCAAGGAGGTGCAGCTTCTGGATGGGCTGCCTGGCCTCAAGCAGGAGGTGTTTACGGAGCCCAGTCTGTATCCCAACAAAACACTGCCCAAGCCATCCAAGCCACCGTTGGAGGACAGTACGGACCAGTAAACGCTCAAGCTGCCGCTGCTCAAGCCTACCAAGCCGCTAAACAGATCGTGCAAGGTGCCGAACAGGAACAACAGAACCAAATCCAAGGATCCATCCAAGAATTGGCTCAAGGACAACAGCAAGGAGGTGTTTGGTCTGGCTGGTACGGAGCACAGAACGCTGGACAGGTACAACAAGCACAAAGTCAGCAAGCTATCCAGGTTGGTTTTTATTGGAAAATATTTGCTTGTTTCGTATTTTTTCTCATAAAATTTTTCGTACTAAAGAAACGTTACAGTAAAAGAATGAATTTATTGGGATAAATACTTTTTTGAAATTCATATTCTTCAACAGTTTTTTTTATAAGCTCTCGGGCTTATAGGACGAAGTCAGCAAGCTTTTGAGGTTGATTTATTTGAGATCCAAGAATTTCAGTTTCATTCAGTTGGTATTTTTGGATATGAAGATATCAGTTTCGAAGTCAGCAAGCCTTTGAGGTTGATTTATTTGAGATCCAAGGATTTCAGTTTCATTCAGTTGGTATTTTTGGATATGAAGATATCAGTTTCGATTCTGAATAGAACAAATATTTTTTCTTGGGGTTTTTAGCAAGAAGTCTTTCTTCAATCCATGTTTTCTATCTTTTTGTCCAATGTTTGTCTTTCATTTATAATCCATTGAAAATGATGCTACTAAAGTAGCTAAAATTCTAAATGACACAAAACATAGGTAGAGCATCTATATATAAGAATATTATTAAATATAAGTTTGATACACCACTAGGAACTCGAGACTCAACAACAATTCCAAGCCCAACCCGGAACAACCGGCCAAAACCTCCAACAAACTCTCCAAGCTGGAATCGAAGCCCAATACGCAGCCCAAAACGTTCAAAACCAACAACAACCCGGCCAAGCTCAAGCTTCCGCTGCCCAATTCCAAGCCCAAGTCCAACAATTGGTCGACCAAACTAACGCCGAACAAACCAAAATGTAATTATTCCTCTATACCGAAATTTTACTTTAAGAAAACCTTAATATTTAAATGTTTACAGTGCTATTGCTGCCGCTCAATACAAAGCCAACCAACTCCAACAACAACGCCAATTCGCCAACCAACAAAGCCAGAAGGTCCAAGCTCAACTCGCTGCTGCCAGACAAGTAGGAGCTTCTCCCCAACAAGTCCAGCAATTGCAACAGGCTCAAGCTCAACTCCAGCAACAGCAACAGGTTCTTGCTGAACAAGAACAGGCCCAGAATTTGGCCGCTCAGCAATTGCAACAGGTTCTGATTTACCAGCAAAGCCAAATCCAAAACGACATCGCTTACCAACAGGCTGCCCAGAATGTTGTTGCCCAAAAGGTTGTTGCTGGATACTAAAAACTATGAAAAAGGATGAATTTGCATTGATTAGGTGTTACGAATATTGGTATTACGACTTATAACAGGGTTTATAGATGTATTTTTTTAGTACAGAAGATTAATAAATAATTATTTGATTTAAAAGAAGTTTTTTTTTTATTTTTAGTTTTTTAATGTATTGCAACTGAAACAGAAAACTTTATACAGGGTGGTCCGAACTGTATTCCGGAAACTTCGACTGCATATTCTGCAGATAAAAGTAAGTAAAAAGGTTCGTATAAATGTATGTCCCAAAATGCTTGGTTTCGGAGATACAGGATGTAGAAGTTTCATTTTTATTTTGATTTTTTCCAAATGATTTCTGAAGTAACGTCAATATTTGGATGAAAATTGGTGTCTGGGAATTTTTTGACACGAGAAATTTGATTTTGATGTCAAAATTACTCCTATTTGTAGGGGGCGCCACTGAAAATCAAATTTCTCATATCAAAAAACTTCCAGACACCAATTTTCATCCAAATTCTGACGTTACTTCAGTTATTAGGAAAAAATCTCGAAATAAAAATGAAACTTATACACCCCGTATCTCCAAAACTAAGAATTTTAGCAGATACATCTATACGAACTTTTTTACTTATTTTAATCTGCAGAATATGCCGCCGAAGTTTACGGAATACAGTTTACGGACCACCCTGTATACAGCTTTAAATGTGCACAAAATATAAAGAAATAAAACTTTACTATAAATATACAGGGTGTCCCAGAGCTACTGGATCTTTTCTAGGTCTTCTTTTTTGTAAATTTAATCTACAACCTATGTTACCATATTATCAAGAAATAATGTTTCTTGATCAAATACTAAAAAAAATGTCCACAAATGTTTTCAAAAAATTCCAAATTTAAAAAAAACATTCGCAAAAATCTCGTTTCTGGGGTCGAAATCGTCGAAATATGCTGCAAGTTAAAATATCTGTACTTATTTCTGGGACACCTTGTATATTTGAACCGCACTAAATATCTACGAATATAATTTCGAAACATGCGTTACTCTTCTAAATGAACTAGGTCACACTGTATAATTTGTTTTAGAAAAATCAACACTTTGAATAAAGTATAAAAAGAAAAACGATATGTTAATGTACATATTATAGAAAAATAATATACACGTCTAAAAATAAATTTTCAGAGTTTTTTGTGGGTTGACAGTCCTTTCAAGCACAGGGAAAAAATCGTACCTTTTTATTTTGAGGAACAAACATATCTATTTACGTTAGAAAGTTCCCGTACTTTCGTATGTATTGAGTTACATTAAAACATATCTGCTGTCGAGAGTGGGTTTGTGTAAATGAGTTTCATTTACCTCCCTGCTGCTATTGTTGTTTTGGAAAAAGTTTCAGTTCAGAAGTAACCATATGCGAAAAACATGTAAAATGTTTAGTGTAAGTCGAAACCATAGAAGAAATGAGTTTAGGGTATCCATAATACTGTGTTGTTGGTTTTCCATCCCATTTATCTCGTGATTATGATATAACATGAATATTAAATAAGTACATATATACTTTTTAGGGGTGGCATAAGTATTTTGATTTGAGGAATAATATGTTTTTGTGCAAAAATATTTGAAAATTTTGTAAATTTCGAAAAAAATCAATATTTTAAAATGTTCAGTTAAAAAACATAATATCCTGATAATATGGCAACATAGGTGGTAGATCAAATTTAAAGAAACAAAAACACAGAAAAAAATTAGTGGCTCTCAAAATACAGGGTGTTTCAAAAAACATGTGCCATCTCTCGTGGGGAGATTCCTCACCTAAAAATTAGATTTATTTGCCAACATAGGTCCGATGCTGCTTTATTCCGTAGCTACAGGGTGTTAAAGTATTAATATTTTTTAATAGACTATTCCAAACAAAGATATTTAAACAGAGTTTAAATATCTTTGATTCCAAATTATGCATCAGTTATAGTATTCCAAATTAGCAACATGAAGACCTACACCCGAGGGGTGTCTCACTATTGGAATTACCTGTACATTTTCTTGGCAGTCGCTGGCAGTCATTGGCAGTCTTATGGCAGTCACCTATAATAATTACATGGCAGTCATAAGCAGTCTTCTTCACAGTCATTGGCAGTCGCTTAGCAGTGGAAGGATATTTTGGCAGTACGTGTACATTTTTTACCCGAGTGAGACACCCCTCGCCTACACCATAATCCGAAAAATATATATATTATGCATTAACATATCGAAAAATCACATTTAACAAATTAAAATATAAACTAATATTTACCTGAAGACCCGATTAAAGTTAATTTAAATAACAAATCGGGGCAATGATTGCCGATTTAATTTGTACTAAAAAAGTTTTTGTCACGTCACAATTATTTGCTCCGTGCTATAAATTTAAATAACTACAAAATCTTCTTCTTTCTTCTTCTTTTAGAAGGCGTATCGCCTGTTTAGTTCCGGTTTCCTCCTCGTCTAAGCAACTCTTGCGAGGTTGACTGCCAACTGTCTCGCCAACGTTTAGGTGGTCGTCCAGTAGGTCTTCTGCCATGGGGTACGTTGTTGCGAATTATTATGGCCATTCTGTCGGGGCCCGTTCTATTGACATGCTGGTTCCATTCTCTTCTTCTTTGCCTTATCCATCTGACAACGTCGTTTGTTTGGCACTTTTCTCTTATGTCTACATTTCTCTGTCTGTCCCTCAATGTGTATCCAGTTATCATTCTTAAGGTCTTCATTTCAGTAGTTCGTAGGATTCTCTTTGTTACTGATGTTTCAGCTCTGGTTTCCGCACCATATGTAATCACTGGTCGTATGCAGGTTTTGTATATTCTTGACTTACATTCTGTACTCAAATGTTTGTTTTTCCATATGGGATATTTAAGATGTCCTGATATTGCGGCAGCTTTATTGGCTTGTTTCCTTACTTCTTCTTCCAGAAATCGTGAGCTTGTAATTTTGCATCCGAGGTATTCGAATGACATTATCTGATCAATAGTTTTGTTTTTTATTACCAATTTGCACCGTAGAGGCTCCTTTGTAATGATCATGCATTTGGTCTTATTTGTGGAAATTTGCATGTTAAGTTTTTCTGCCTGTCTGTTAAAAGCTTGTAGCATTCTTTGGAGGTCGTCCTCTGACTCTGCAATAAGTACTGCGTCATCGGCATAGCATAATATGTTTACTTTATGCATTCCTACAAAATCTGTTGTCCACTAAATACCAAGCCAAGTTTTTTAAATAACAAATATTGTATTATTTGAGGGGCGTTTTCGCCCCCTTGGAACTGGAATTTGGAAAAATCCCTTCTTATCGAACCTCTACACCCTAGAATCAACCTGTATGCCAAAATTGAGCTTCTTACGTTGAGTGGTTTGAGCAGGATCGTGATTAATCAGTATGTCAGTCACTTAAGGATTTTATATATTAATATAGATTAGTATAGATTTAAAACGATAGCACTCTACGCATAGCTTCAATAAGTGGGTATTTCAAATTACCAACAGTATTCCGATTTACCCTCATTTCCTCTACCAAGAAAAAATCTGAAAAAATCCTTTCCAGATTTAAGAATACTTCTTTCTTTAAATCAGGTTAAATCTCCACTATGTTTCCCAGCCACCACGACTAGTTTAAACCGTTTTTAAACCCCCGGTGCCACGTCACGCGTTGTCGTCGGAAAGCCTTCCCTCGGGCATTGCCGGAAAAATGAAAATGCGCTATTTTCCTCGCCGGCTTTCCGCACAAACGAATCCGCTCGGGCTCGATTTCGCGCCCTTTTTCATTCAAACCCGCTCACTGCAAACATCACAGAAATACGTAAACATAGAGCGGCCATAACATGAAATGGTCAGATAACAGGAACAGAGATTATGGTGGAATTCCTTCTATAGAAATATTCAATAAAATTTGCACGTTATCAAAATATTTGACGAATGCACGTGGCAATGTTGCCACGGCTACATTTTTACTTTGACTTTTGACAAGTGCCAAATATAATTTTTAATTTTGTCACTGATTTCCTTCACCAAACCAAACCAGAAACACGATAAGATTTTTTTCGCGAAAAAAAAATTGAAAATTTGGAATTTTGTGAAAATTTTCTCAGTTTTTAGCTAAAAAATATAATGTATTGATAATATGGCAACATAGGTAGTATCGAGGGGTATCTCACTCGGGTAAAAAATGTACACGTACTGCCAAAATATCCTTCCACTGCTAAGCGACTGCCAATGACTATGAAGAAGACTGCCTATGACTGCCATGTAACAATTATTACAATGACTATGAAGAAGACTGCCAATGACTGCCAGCGACTGCCAAGAAAATGTACATGTAATTCCAATAGTGAGACACCCCTCGGGTAGTATATTAAATTTACAAGAAAGAAAATCCAGAAAAGATCCAGTGGTTCTCAAAATTTTAACAAAAAATCATTTTTTTTAAATTTTCAAAGTAAAATATCTTTATAGTTTTAGATTTATTTGAAAAACGGTAAAGAGAAAATATGTTTCTTTTATCGAGATCTACCAGCCCTGAAAATATTTGCACTTATTTGATAAGTGAAATAAGTGGACTTTTTAGTTTTTTATCTAGCCAGACTCACAAGTTGTTATTTAATGTCACTATCCGAACATACATTTACATATTCATCCACTGGGAAAATAAGTACAAAAAAATCACTGCCTCCTGGACTAGCAGATTTAATTTCTTTGTCATGGAAAAGTCAGAATAAAATTGACAAATGATTTGTAAAGAAAGATTTAATGACAACTAACATTTGTCATGACTACTAGTGATGGGAATAATCGAATTATTATCACCATCGAATAATTAGTAATAATTCATATTTCACAATCGAATTAATAATTGGAATTATTTAGTAGTATTATAAATTTAACCTAAAAATAAATTCGTCCCAGCTAGTGCTCGTCTAGGGGCTATTTTTAACAAATTCTGAACCATTGCCATACCTATATTCTATCACTGAATAAAAAATAAAAAAAAATATTCTTTATTCAATGTATTCTACTGTGCCGAAGCCGTTTAATAAATTAAACCATAATTTAAAGTTTTAAATTTAAAAGTGCCGAGTTTATGATTGTTTTAATTCCTATTGAAAAGCTCATATCTAAAATAAAAGCTTCTTCTAAAACGATATAAGTATGTCCTTGTTTACGTGCGGTTCGTATCGAATTTTTTTCACAATCGAATAATTAGTAATAATTCATATTTCACAATCGAATTAATAATTCGAATTATTTAGTAGTATTATAAATTTAACCTAAAAATAAATTCGTCCCAGCTAGTGCTCCTCTAGGGGCTATTTGAAACAAATTCTGAACCATTACCATACCTATATTCTATCACTGAATAAAAAATCAAAAAAAAAATATTCTTTATTCAATGTATTCTATTAACTGTACCGAGGCCGTTTAATAAATTAAACCATAATTTAAAGTTTTAAATTTAAAAGTGCCGAGTTTATGATTTTTTTAATTCCTATTGAAAAGCTCATATCTAAAATAAAAGCTTCTTCTAAAACGATATAAGTATGTCCTTGTTTACGTGCGGTTCGTATTTCTTTTTATTTTATCAGTTGCAATCAATAATTATTTAGATAAAAGAAGAAAATTAATTTTAGTGTTCGGCAGATGTTCCGTGAAATTTGGGTGAGATGGAAATGAACCAAATAGTATAGTAGTATTCTTTCGTTCTGAACGAAATGAAAATTTTCACTTAAACTGATTTATTCCTACGTGGTATAGGAAATAACAATGATTTCTGGATTTTTCTATATCGGATCGTTCCTTTCTTTGTCGATTCCCTTTATAAATCAGTTTAAGTGAAAATTTTCAGTTCGTTCAGAACGAAAGAATACTACTAATAGTACTATACTAATTACTAATATTCGTATTCGTCCATAAGAGGTTATGTTTTATGTTCATTTGTAATTCGGTTACCACAGATATAATATAAAATACTACTAATTTTTATCTCGATTATATCCAAAAAGATAATTCGAATTAGTTAGTTTTAATTTACTATCGAATTAGTCGTATTATTTAATTCGAATTTTCCCAATACTAATGACTACCAACATTAAGCCTTTTTCATCGAACAATTCGTTGATGACTGACAAAGTGGTTCGTCTGTATACCTACGTAGATTTTAAACAACGCTTTGCTTTAGCAAGTTCAGATTTATCTGAAAACTTGTGTCCGACACAACTGGCTTCGTGTGACGATTCTCACGAAAGAGCTCCTAGCTGTGAACTCCTCTACATTTACTTATTTCTCTGGCTGGTGATCGATTCGGCGCCCTCTAGCGGCCGTTATGAGCAATTAATTCGGTGGAAAGCTGCATTTAATGGAGACAAAGAGTCAACCGGAAGATAATTTTGCAGGATTCGCGCAAGAAATTAGCAGAAAGCCGTTTTATACTCGGTCGGATAAAGGATTGAGAGAAAGGGTTTAGCAGAGGATTTGATGCAAATACCATGTTTGTCCCAGTAGAAATCCATTGCAAAAAAAAACTAATACTAATAATTTTATCCAACAGCAGAACTGTTTCATGTCCAATCTCTAAAGAATAATTGAAAAAAGGATCTACCAGTTCTACTTTCATTGTTGCGAATTAATAAATTATCGGGGTGCGTTTATGTTACTATGCAATATAGATGTGTGTTTTGTTTTTTTTTGTAAATAATAAATAGCACTCACATTAAGACGTCTTTTAGATAAATCGCGATTTTTTAACGATAAAATAGTGAATTATCAACCAGCAAGTCAGATTTTAAAGAAAAATAATCTTCCGCAAGTACTTGGGCCTACAACATCCTGAGCAATACACTGACCATTGTATGAGAAGATCATCCGCTGCATTACTGACAAAGTGTGCGAACACAGTGCAAGCAGGTTTGCCGCTTTCTGGTAGCCAGCGCCAATCTGGGTACCTATTCTTGACATCGTTCGCAACTTTGGGTATACGCATCACGTGTATTGTTATAAACAGGGTATCCCAGAAATAAGTGCAAGTATTTTAAAGGGTGGTAGATCTAGATAAAAGAAACATATTTTCTCTTTATCGTTTTTCAAATAAGTCCAAAATAACGGAGTTATTTTACTTTGAAAATTTCCAAAAAAAAATGATTTTTTGCTAAAATTTTGAGAACCTTCTTCATGTGCCTTCTCCTCATCGGAGGTTGGCGACCATCAATTGGAATTCCTCCCTGTCTTGAGCCAAACGGATAATTGCACTTGCCTCTCCTATATTAAACCACTGGCGCAAATTCCGCAAGCAGGAAAACCGTTTACGCCCGATGCCTCGTCGTCCTTCAATCTTTCCCTCAACGATCAGCTGTAAGAAACTATATTTGTTATTTCGAAAAATATGACCAAAATATGCTGCTTTCCATCGTTTTATTGTAGTCAATAGTTCTTGGTCCTTACATATTCTTTCCAATACTTCGATATTTGTTTGAGAACCACTGGATCTTTTCTGGATTTTCTTTCTTATAAATTTAATCTACTACCTATGTTGCCATATTATCAAGAAATTATTTTTTGAAATAAAAACTAAAAAAAAATTGCAAAAAAATTTCAAAAATATTTTCAAAAAATTCCGAATTTTCAAAAAAAATATTTAGAAAAAAACCTCATAGGCGTGTTTCTGGGGTTGAACTATACTACCAGTTAAGTTAAAATACTTGCACGTATTTCTGGGACACCCTGTATATGGTTACATAGTAGCGCCGCGCCGCGCCGCCTTGCGCTTATAACCTTGAGAAATTAAAGCGTGTTATCAAATCGGTTAGTTCACAGTAAAAGCAGGTAGGAGCCGTCAACCAGCGTTCGTCGGCGTTCTCGCTTTTACCGGAACGAAAATGTATTTATTTCTGCTTTGGCAGGCGCCGACGGCGCACAGAGGGTGTTAAGAACTAAAAGTTGGCCAAAATTATGTTTTATGATTTTTTTGCTTTTTTGCTAGTAATATTAATTATTAGAGGACAGGGTGCTAATATGGAACCTCATTTTGTTTTTCCTACACAATATTTTTTCCTCTACTCTGAAACCCTCCGATCAAATAAGGCCACGATCAAATAAGGCCATTCTGTGCAAAACCAAGCAATTGGATGAGGATGCTAGAACAAGAAAGTAATTTGTATATTATAGACGATATTTGAGCGAGGATGGGTGTTATAGGGTAAAGACTATTTCCTTTAAGAATCTATTTAAATCAATGTTTTTTTGGCAGTGGCAAATATTCGCAAGATTTTTGTACATATTCCAAAGCTGGAGACTTTAAGCATTGAACGGATACTAATTTCTATGCGGAATATTGCCCAATAGTCTTACACCTTATAAAAATGCCTCTGATTTTTTAAATATAAAACATTATAAAGAAATAGATAGAAGGAAACGTTTCCAAATAAAAATATGGCATAAAACAGGACTTGACAGCTGGCTCTGTATCCATCATGACAGTTATTATAAACAATTTGCAAAAAAGCACTATAAACAATTCCACTATTTTATAATCTTAGAAATATTCAGAATACACTCAAGATAATTCATACTTATAATTGAAATATATTATTTATTTGATAGTCAACTAACAACTTAAAAAAAAACTAATAAACGCGCTTACATTTAGTATTTATAGATTTGTATTCAGTTAAGATAAAAAATGAAAATAAAAATATTTCACTTTTGGCCAGGTTTATAGACCAAATACCCCTATGTGCGGCGCCGGCGCGGCGGGAGCGGCGTTTGGATATGGTTAGGTTAGGTTAGGTTAGTTAATCAGGTAAATTTCCTCTTAATTAACTACTTCCGAACCCTGCTCGCATCTCCGAAAAAGCCATATAACAATACACGGCATATACGCAAAGTTACGCATCACGTGTATTGTTATATGGCTTTTTCGGAGATGCGAGATGTGAGCGATATGTGGTCAAGAATAGGTCCCCAGAGACGGCGCTGGTTGCCGGAAAGCAGAAACATGCCTGCACTATGTTCGTACCCAAATGCAGGAGTGAACATAACAACGTTAAAAAGACACGGAGGATGGAGATCTGCAACGGTTGCGGAAGGATATATTGAAGAGTCCATCAACAATAAAATAGAGATTGCGAAAAAGGTGCTGTAAGTGTTCCAGAACGAGCCGTTGTAATGACAGAGCCTATTTCAAGCAGTGGAGGGACAGCATCTGGAGGCATACAAGGTTTTACAATTTCTGAATCTAAAAAAAAATAATTTTCATTTAATGTTAATTTAAACAAATAATTGAATTAGTAATTTATGAGTAAAGCTTAATAATTTCTATAAAATGGTGTGGATTTGAAGTTATAACACACTAGTTTGTTATAACTTCAAAAACTCACGCGTGCGTTATTATTTATTTTATACCGTGCTGGCAACTGTTACTTTTAGGTCGGCATTTACATGTGTCGAAGTAAATCGCATAGGGATCTTATAAGTCGGAGTGAGAGAAATGCGACGGTGTGCTGTTGCGGCGTTGCCGGTACGCCTTTCCCTATCAAGTAAAGTAAAATCACGATCGCAAACCGCTTATTTTTAAAAGACTTTTTTTTCAAGAGATAACTAGATAAAATCATTAGATATTTCTGAGCATCTGGAATGGAATTATAAGGATATCGTTAGGGTGTCATATTTTTTATAACGAGAAAACGTCAGTAATCGCGATAATTTATAAACTCAACTTTTTAACACATCACAGGTCATGACTCAAGAACCACTTTAGATATTGAAACTTTTTTTTTATTTTCAAGATCGGATGTTTTACAATAAGAGTTTACATAAGAAAAAATTCGATAAGGTTGTTTTTTCCATTCAAAAATTGTAAACAATCCATCCATTTACTTTTAGAGCATAGCAATTTTCAGCAATCGTGTAATGTTTTTATTGATAAACATTTTCACATACTGTCTACAAAAAAAAATACAGCAGAAATATTAACAAAGTTCCTGAAAAAACTACAATCTATTATTTCTAATAGATTTCGAGATATCGATTTTTGAATTCAGAGTTCTAATAGCGCGACCACTATCGAACACCCACTGAATTCCACTTATTTTTACCAAAAATGTAAGTGTTTCTAGCTTGCACTTAAAAAAATTCAAGCTACAGAGAAAATTACAACGACTCGTTAATAAATTAACAAGTTAAATATCACGAGACGTAATTAAATCGCGAAACTGAACGCATGATGTACACCTCTCCCTAGAACTTTAAGTACTGACAGAGGTATTAATTGGGTATTTGTGTCTAGCCTTAGCAGGCAACTGTTAAGCCCGACCTATCACGTTAGAGTTTTTGACAAACACAAATGAATTAACACACTCCAAATAACCACGCTAACCAACCTGATTGGTCAAGCTTAATAGTTGACTGCTAGAACTAGACACTTCTAATTGGGTCGACCGGTCAACTGCGACAAATCTGCTATATCCCCTTCCACGTCTCTTAGCGATGTGCACAGTTTCTCGGTTTATTTCACACGTTTGGCAACGTGTTTACTGTCCTCTCTTTGTTCAGTACATTATAAACGCCATTGTACTATGGAAATCCCGACCCAAGATTAACCTTTGCCAGCCCTTAGTATGAAGGTATACATGTGAGTAATGTCTGTATAAGTAGTGGCTGATAGATAAAATCAATTACAACTTTCTTAAGGACAACTGGTAGTAAGCGCCATTAAAAAAAAAAAGAAGAGTCCACCAAGTAATGACATCTAGGGCTTGACCTCTCTAAAATTATCATCAATTACCATTCCCCAGGCGTCTTTGAAGCCTTTTTTTTTCGATCGTATGGCACAATTATAATATTAGAAAGGTAATTAACTAAAACAAAGTAATTTTAACGACACAGAGTTAATAAAACGTCAATTAATAAACCATAATTTTTGTTTAACAAAATAAGGGAGATAAAAAAATGATTCAAAAGAATTATATCTCCTCAAAAATTATTGCGAAATGTTTCATTCCTTTAATGAATCATCAGTGACAGATAAAAATACTAACTACATAACATAATTAAAATTATAACGTTATTCTTGACCTGACATATATATCTAATTGCATATGATAATAATTATTATTTGAGATAGTGCATCCTAAACCGTAAACATTTTTTAAGTTTAATTAACATTTTAAAAGATTAACATTTTAAAAGATATAGCATTTTTTTTCGGTGAAATGTTTCTTAATTACTTCTAAAAAGTTTTTTTTTTGGAATCTGTCGATTTTAGTGGTAGAAAGCGCTCATTTGTATGCGTCAGGTTTTTAAGTAAAGATGCATTTCAATCGTGACATGTTTGGGAAGATTGATGATGGTGACTGTGGCTAGTAAGAACACTGATTTCAGATGTGTCTTGAATTGTTCTTTTTTGGGATTTTCTTTGTAAAATTTTCCGCTTTTCATATCAAATGTTTTCGTGGTTGTTTTATATACCGGGTGGTGCATTGTCATTGGAAACTTAGAAAATCCCATGTAAATTTTGAACTGTTCAAATATTGGCTATTGATTTAACAGCAAAGTCGTAAATATATTTTTTAAAGATTTATGTATGGTAAATACACATGCCAAATTTGAACAATTTTGGACCAAAAATGTTAACGTTTTTGCGAATAAATACCAAAATAATTGATATTTCTATTTGTATAATAAAAGTATTTTTACAGGCTTACCTTACTTATTTGCCTATCGAATTTGAATTAAAAAAATTCTTTCATAAGAAATTTATGGACAATAAAATGTTTTTTCTGCCATATCCATGAGAATATAGTACGTCTTTTTGTACCATTGTACCTCTATATACGTCGCATTTTCCTTCATAGAAAAATTCCAGTGAAATATCAGCTTCAGAAATTTTAATATCGAAAACGTTGGTATAAAGCCGATGGCTGGATTTTATGCTTCTAATATAAACATAAGCCAGGTGAATCTATCTTCCCCGTATATGTTCCAGATTTTTATTAAATCTGCCCGCTATAAATAAAGAAAACAAAATCCAAGTTTCTTACGACTAACGGTAAGACAGCGTATAGATTGTTCCAGAGCAATATGTTTTGAAAAAAAATTTGAAAAATATTTCATTAATTTTAGTGAGATTTCCTGAGCTTCATAATATGCCGGTACAAATATTTTTTCCATAGCTACTGTTAAAATTGCCTTATATCTATCAAAAATAGTAGATAAAATAGTACTTTAAACGCAAGGGCAGATTAAATGATACTTTAACAGCGAGGATAGGTTAAAAGCTTTACTTCTTCTCGCACGTTTTTTAATTGCTTCCATTTTTGAAAAATGTTGTATTCCATTTCATAAGTTATTCGGGATTTAAATGGAAGCAGTTTGGATATAGCGTTTGTCGCGTCAGCCTGAATATCTGTTGGTAATTTACTTATTTCGTTTTGAGCCATTTCTGGCTCCAATTCAATCAGCAATCGACACAAAAGAAAATTAAAAAATATTGACTCAAAACCATAGACAAACAAATAAAAAGAGACTGGCAAATTAAATGGCAAAGAGAGGGACAACGTTCCCGTAGCGCAACTCAGAACGCAAAATTTCGTTCTATTTATGTTGATCTGCGCATTGCGTCTATTGGGCCCACTATCTCATTCTAATATAACAAGAGAGAAAGAAGCAGTCATATAAAACGTAATTTCTAAATATAAATTAGAATAATCGCCTTTCGTTTTCGTCATCATGACAACCAAGATGACAACATCATGACAATTCGTCATGTTTGTTAATTTTTCTTTTGGTGATTTACCTTTTTTCTAAACTCTCCATTTTATTGACTTATGAATATGGATAGGGAACAAATTCCTTTGTTCCATATAGGTATTTATATTTTGTTACTTATAATTTTAGGTTATACTATTTGTTATTTTATTTGCTGCAGGAGCCAGTATCATCTATTTTCTATATGTATTGGTGCCCCCTTTCTCTGATAGATATGTTAAAGACACCCGGTAAAATAAAAGTAAGTAGTTATTTATCATCTTATTAAGAAAAAAGTAGAAGTAGTAGTGTCAAAAATATTTCGAACCTCTCTTAACATAACAAATTAATACAATTAATTTTTTTCATTTTTTGGGTAGGTAGTTTATATAGTAGACTTGAAAATGGTTCAGGATCATGATTCTCGTAAAGTCTTCTTTGCTTCTTTGCGACCACTTTGTTACTGCAATTAGGCAGTTTTTTCGAAAATGAGATTTTTAATGCCCTTTAAAAAAAATGGCCGATCGTTTCCTGCAACTCTGCAACAGTCAGTTCTTCTGCATTTAAAATTGGTAAGTGGGTGGAATAAATACTGTTATTTTTTGTTATTATATTATAAAAAGTTTATTTATTTTTATGTATAAATAAAAAATATGTTTATAAAACAGTACAATTTTTGCTTATTTTTATAATTTCCCTTATAATAGTAGTATTCTTTCGTTATGAAAGAAACTGCAAATTTTCACTTAAACTGATTTATTCCCTACACCACGTTCCCTTTACGTGGTATAGGGAATAAATCAGTTTAAGTGAAAATTTTCAATTTCAGAATGAAAGAATACTACTAATAATGGCTAATTTAAATTTTCTACCAGCCAGAATATGCGATAATGTCTTCCGATACGTTTTATACCTATCTCTTTCTTTTTCATATAAAGCACACATAATAAAGAAAGGTAGCAATAAAGACGTACGTCTTGCCATGGTCCTGCTAATTGGTTTCAAAATTGTTATTCTGAGTTGCACTACGGGAAGGCGGTCCCACTCTTTACCATGAGATTTGTCAGTCTCTTGATTATTTGTTTGTCTATGCTCAAAAACTGACAACTAAAGAGACAGCTTTATTTATTCGTCAAATTACATAGAAACCAACGCCAGCCCAGCACAATATTTTTTCTACTCGTAATAAATTCTTTGAAATAATAATTTCTGAATATTTTTTAAAATGTAACTCGCTATGGAAAAAAATATTGTTTTATACACGGCGATAAAATTGCATTATCGTTTCCCGAAATTAATTCACTCGCGATCGTGAATTACTCTTTTCGGTCGACGATAAAATACCACTTTATCGTCTTGTATAAAAAATAACTACAAGTTACGTTTTTAAAACACGATTTTATCCATCTTTTTTACATTAATTTTCATAAAAATTCATCCTATAGCATTTTTGTCTTACTGTTATAAAAAAATCCCATAAAAAAGTCTCAC